GTCTACACTGCACAGGTGGGGCAGGAGCTGGGAGAGGAGGACAGTGTTGGTGTCTACACTGCACAGGTGGGGCAGGAGCTGGGAGAGGAGGCCGGCCTGTGTTTTCTGACCACACGTTCCCTCTCTCACACCCGTGGGCTGGGGAGACTCATCCCGCCGTTAGGGACACCCCAAACATCTTCTCCTCTGAGTTCGTTTGTCTCTTCCTCTGCCCCTTCCCTCGCCCGGCCCGCCCCTGTTCTCCTCTAGGGTTAGGAAACTCTTTAAGCTACTTAAGTAAACCAAGGAAAATGGTCGGTTACCCTTTTGTTAAATAACTGGTTAGCACATTTGTAGGGGACAACTCAGATTAGCTTTTCCAAGAGTTTTTCTAAAAGAGGATGGCCTCAGAATTCCCAGTCCCAAATTCTAGTAAGATTTGTGTATTGTTGGCAGTGATAATCTGTAATATTATTTCTGGTATATTTAGCTAATCTATTCCAAATTACAAAAATTTTTTTAAAAAAAATACCCAAACTCATTGCTGTTGAGTTAATTCTGACTCATAGCAACCCTACAGGACAGAGTAGAACGGCCTCATACGAAGTCCCTCCAAAATAACAGCATTCCCATTTCAGATTTTTGCTTATATATTCTGGGTAGAGCTAACACATAAACAAGGAGCCAGCCACTTTGAGAGAAGAGATGTAATGGATGCAGTTAAGCACTCAGCTGCTAACGGAAATGTTGGCAGTTCAAACCCAGTAGCCACTGCGATGGAGAGAGATGTGGCAGTCTGTTTCCGTAAAGATTTACAGGCTTGGAAACCCTATGGGGCACATCTACTCTGTCTTATAGGGTCACGATGAGTCAAAATCGACTGGACGGCAACAGGTTGTTATTCTTGGTTTAATTGACTGACCACCTCCTGTTCACCATGTTCACCCTAAATAGCATGTCTGACACACAGACACCTGACACTGGACAGATGAGGTTGGCAGCGTTCTACCAGTCCCGTGCACTCACAGACCAGGACCACGGGAGGAAGACACCTTGCAGACCCACACAGGGTTACACTTGGGAGCAGAGTGAACCCGCAAGGGCTGTGGGAGGCAGGCTTTGTAGTAACAAGAGGGTGGGGTGCCCCCTGGCTCCCGCAGGAGCATGCAATGGGCTTGCTTGAATAAACCCGTGGGCTGGCAGGGAGGCGACACCCATTAGATTGAGGACCGGGTGGGGTGCAGCTGGTCCAGCTGATAGAGGAACTGGGAGGGTGCATGGAAAACCTTTCCTGTTGGGTGGGGGAGTTCTGGTGAGAGCAGGTGAACTCAGGTTAGGCCTTCAGGGTCTTGTGGGGTCAGAGGTGTTCAGGCAGCACTTGAAACGTCGGGTCTACGACCCACTGGCCTCAACAGTGGTCCCCGTGGGGAGTGCCTGCTGGTCTGACCCACTGCTCACTGCATGGTGAAGTCGATTATACCCCCACTGGGACAAGGTGGCACTGGTGGGACCAGCCAGCCTTGGGCACACCAGGCCACAGTGCCGTGAGTCAGGACCTCCTCACCGAGGGTCGGTCAGGAGCTGGGATTCCAGGTCTCGTCCTCTGTCCCCTACATCCAACTGAGAAACGTGCAGTCCTTCTCGGAAGCCAATTTGACTAAATGTGCAATCTACACAGGACCACTGGGTTTGCCTAGAACCAAGGTCACTCCACACACATACGATATGAAGTGGATTTGCCTGTGAGCAGAGGGAATCTCGTATAACGCAAGGCTGTGCCTTAACCACCCGTGAGGCAGGACATCCTTAGCCGCACTTGTAAATTTTTACGTGACCATAAAAAGCCCTGTCCTGAACAGTCCCAGAGAAAGAACAGTATCTTATTCGCTGCAACTGTCTCCCTCAGACAGCAGGTGCGTGAGGCCAAATTTCAGAGTGGACCCCAGTGGGCGGGGGGGTCAGTACCGGGAACCTCAGGCATCACCCTGCCCCCATCCCAGTTGTGAAATTACGAGGTGGTCACTGCAGCCGGGCCCACTGTCTTTGGTCCTTGCGGAGGTCACCTCAGAAGTTAATCCCGTTTTAATCACCTCCTAGCTCCGGAGTATCGTGTTACAGGCGTCCCTGCTCACTTAGCTCTCTGATGTCCCCTCCCCTGGTAGACATGCTGGTGGGATGATTCCTGTGCGGCCGCGCATGCCCTGAGCACGCATGAAGTCAGCGTGTGCTTGCTGTCTCCTTTAGACCAAGGTGGTCCTCACAGTCAAAGACACAGCCACTTGCGCAGTTGAAGGAAAAGCTTGTGTTGTTGTTGTTAGAGGTCTTAGAGAACTGAGCTTGCAGGTCGTTCATTTCTGGGTAAACGCGAAGTATAACAGAAACGCTACCATAAGAACGTTTGCCCTGTTAGGTATAAATTGTCGTCTTCCTTATACGCTGTGACTTTTCTCTCCATTTATATGGAATAGTAGCTGTCTTCCTAATCCCACAGCCGATTTTTTTCCGAAAGGCAAAAAACCAGTTGCTGTTTGGCTGATTCCCACTCCCGGTGACCCCATGCGTGCCGGAGTAGATCTGTGCTCCACAGGGTTTTCAGTGACTAAGTTTTCAGAAGTAGATCCCCAGGCCTTTCTTTCGAGGTGCTTCTGGGTAGACTTGAACTTCCAACCTTTGGGTTAGCAGCTGAGCGTGTTAACCATCTAGCCCACCCAGGGATTCCTTCAGAAAGGCATCGTGTGTGAGTCCTTCAAGCCTTGCAGTTGTTTCCCTCCATCCCCTCCTCGGTCTCTTTAGGGCCAAGTTGGTGCACCGCAGGGTCTAGGGTGGAGCAGGATTAGATTACAGCCAAAAACAGAGGCAGAGATGGCTAGGGGCCACGGGGATTCTGGGTGTCACCGCCCGAGACCCCAGCCCCAGCCCAGAGGCCCAGGAGGAAGGCATTGGCTCAGAGCTCGCCCGTCTCCTTCTGAACCAGGAACATGCTCTGCCCGAGGCAGGAGAGCAGGGAAGGACAAAGCCACGTCTCAGTCCTGGGCATCCAGATAAACATCCAGTGTGGATCTGCATCACGAAGCAAAGCCTGCCTGGCCCCAGGAGCTCTCACTGCTGAGTCACGGCCGCACGCAGGCTCACCAGCCAGCACTGTCCCGAGAGCAGGTGGAGGTGCTGCACTTAGGGGAGAAAAGCTGGTCCCCAGCCATCGAGGCCTTGCCTGGGTGCAGAAAAATCGCTACCAAGCGGCTCTGGGTCTCCAAGGGCCGGAGTGTCCTAGTGCCTCTCAATCCTGTTCTTCACGCAGATGGTCTGTGAGTTCCTGCATCCTGGAGGCTCAGTAATTTCTAAAGCCTGCAGACCCCCAGCTTCTGCCTGGTTAACCACTCACATGAGCAGGCAGGACCCCCCGAGCCACCCTAAACAGCCGTCATCTGAATACCCCCCGCTGCAGAAGCTGCTGAGTTAGGAAGCAGTGACCTGAAGCCCCACATTTAGAATGACAGATGAGGTCAGCCATGCCCAGACCCGAGGAAGCCTCTGCAGACGCAGCCGTCACGGTGTCCCCTCTGACCTCAACTGTGTCATCTGACATCCCGGGTCTCTTTCTAAAGCCTCTCCCCTCTTTCCTTTCCTTTCAGCATCCTCCTGGATGAAGAAGGACACATTAAGATCACAGGTTTGTACAAGACGGCCGTTCCCTCTGTGACTTCATCCCAGCCCTGGGAAATGTGGGGGGCCAGTTCAAAGCCAGTGCCCTGGAGTCACCCCGATTCTGCAGGTGCTCCCTTCGGTCTGGCTGCATTATCTGTGGATGTGGACTAGTTATGCTATTGTGTGTCCCCACCAGCATTTGGAAATTTTAGAAATTCCCAGGTGGGCATTTTTTCCCTCTCTCCTTTCCATGCCCCTCCCTTTTCCTTCTGACCTGCCAAGTCCCCTCCAGGACCCCTCTAGCACCCCACTGCTGGCCCTCGGCCTCGCTGAGTTTGGGGCATGTGTGAGACCCCAGGGCACAGTCTGACCGCGGCACGTGTTCCAAGCCACCCTCGAGCACCCCGCACTGCGTCCTTAGTGCGCTACCACTCCAGCGCCACCATTTCTTCTGTTGTTGTAGTTAGGTGCTGTCAAGTCGGTTCCGACCCATAGCAACGCCGTGCCCAACGGAACGAAACACCGCCTGGTCCTGCACCATCCTCACAATCGTTGTTATGCTTGAGCCCATTGTTGCAGCCACTGAGTCAGTCCATCTCCTTGAGGGTCTTCCTCTTTTTTGCTGACCCTCTACTTTACCAAGCGTGATGTCCTTCTCCAGGAACTGATCCCTCCTGATAACATGTCCAAAGTATGTGATACATAGTCTCACCATCCTTGCTTCTAAGGAGCATTCTGACTGTGCTTCTTCCAAGACAGATTTGTTTCTTCTTCTGGCAGGCCATGGTATATTCGATATTCTTCACCAACACCATAATTCAAAGGCACCAATTCTTTGGTCTTCCTTATTCATTGCCCAGCTTCCCATGCCTGTGAGGTGACTGAAAACACCATGGCTTGGGTCAGGTGAATCTTAGTCTTTAAAGTGACATCTTTGCTTTTGAACACTTTAAAAGAGGTCTTTTGCAGCAGATCTGCCCAATGCAATATGTCGTTTGATTTCTTGACTGCTGCTTCCGTGGGCGTTGATTGTGGATCCAGGTAAAATGAAATCCTTAACAACTTCAATCTTTTCTCCATTTATCATGATATTGCTTATTGGTCGAGTTGTAAGGATTTTTGTTTTCTTTATATTAAAGTGTAATCCATACTGAAGGCTGTAGTCTTTGATCTTCAGCAGTAAGTGCTTCTTAATCCAAGAAGTTGGACTCTGTGAAGAAGAACGCAGCATCAGGATTGGAGGAAGACTCATTAACTACCTGCGATATGCAGATGACATGACCTTGCTTGCTGAAAGTGAAGAGGACTTGAAGCACTTACTGATGAAGATCAAAGACCACGGCCATTTCTCCTGGACTGCTGCCAAAAACCCAAACAAAACCACTGCCATCAAGTTGACTGTGACTCACGGTGACCCCATGTGGTACATGCAGAACTACTTCATAGGGTTTTCGTGGCTATCATCTTACAGAAGCAGATCACCAGGCCTTTCTTCCATCACACCACTGGCTGGGTTTGAACTGCCAACCTGTAAGTTAGAAGTTGAATGTCTATCTCTTGCACCACCAGGGACCTGTGGACCACTGCAGGCACCTCCCTACAGACCTCCTTACTCACAGCCCATCCTCCTCATCGCCACCAGGAGCAAGTCAGACTGAAAATGCCCTCTGGTTCCATGATCTCCCATTTGTACAAGTGCCCCACAGCTGCTGAAACAAATCACCACAAACTCAGTGGCCTTAAACGGCACACACTTATCATCTTACCGACCTGGAGCTCAGAAATCCAAACTGGGGCTAACATCAAGTTGTTGGCAGGGCAGGTTCCCCTGGAGGCTCCCGGGAGAACCTATCCCTGGCCTTTTCCACCTTCTAGAGGCCACCCGCATTCCTTGGCTTCTGGTCCCCTGCTTGCATCACTCCAACCTCTACTCTGTTATCCCATCTCCTTCTCTGATCCTCCTGCCTCCCTCTAATGAGGGTCCTTGTGATTACATTGTGCTAACCCAGATAACCCAGGACAGTCTCCCCCTTGCGACACCTTCACTTAATCACACCTGCAAAGTCCCCTTTGTCCTGGGAGGTGCCATAGCCCAGGTCCCGGGTTAAGACATGCATATCTGTGGGTCCCTTTCTCTGGCCCCCGTCCCAGCCTCTTCCCTGTGCGTGCCCACACTGCATCCATCAGTCAGTTGACCAGCAGGCCCCTGAATCAAACACGCCCCACCTCAGGGCAGGGCTTTGGTGCGTGTGCTGCTTCCTTTGGATGTCCTGCCTCCCTCCCTCTGCCCTGGGCGTCCCCTCCTCCTCCTCAGAGCTCAGCTGGGGCCTGACCCTCTGCATGAGGCTTCCCGGGGGTCCCAGACCCCTCCTTCTCTGCCTACGATGTTCGGACGCTGGACCCTGCAGCCCCGGGTCGCTCGTCTGCCGCTCCGCTTTGTCGCTGAGGACAGAGTTTGTCCTATGCATCTGGTGTCCCTAGAGTCTAGCATTCTGCATGCAGTTATTGCACAAAAATGATTATTAAATATTTTAAATGCCTGTTGAAGTTGAAAAATTAGACTTTTATAGTTCATGAGCTTAGACAGGAAGTGTGACTGCCCATTTGGCCGACTTCCCGGAGCGCCCCCTGCTGGCCGTCACGCAGGATGCCTGGTGCCCTCAGTGTCTGGGGACGGTCCCTGACAGGACCTTCCTCTCCGCTCCCTCCACTCCATCCCGACTTTGGCCTAGTCTCTCAGGTCACCGGTCAGGAGTCTGCCTAGGGACCAACCGACCGCTGAACCCAACTGGTGGGTTGAAGAAAGGCTCTTTGTTGTTCTTACGTTTAGATTTCGGCCTGAGCAAGGAGGCCATCGACCATGACAAGAGGGCATACTCCTTCTGCGGGACCATCGAGTACATGGCACCCGAGGTGGTGAACCGGCGGGGCCACACGCAGAGCGCCGACTGGTGGTCCTTCGGCGTGCTCATGGTGAGGTTCCTCCTGGTCCTGGGGTCCCTCGGCTCGTGGTGAGGCCCCTCCTGGTCCTGGGGTCCCTCGGCTCATGGTGAGGTTCCTC